ATATATATACATATATATATATATATATATATATAAATATATGGATATATTAACTACCTTTGCATTATTTGATTCTTACTGTTTTTTTCTGGTTTTAGCAAAATTATATAGCACTTAGGGGCAAAAATACAAAATAGTAGGCCAAGAGCTGATGCTAAAATTGCAAAAGCATGGACAGCTACTGTGTATTTTCCAGCTGTGCCTATGTAAACTGGTATAAAAGTGATCCACACTGCAAAAAAAATCAGTATGCTGAAAGTGATTAATTTAGCCTCGTTGAAGTTGTCAGGTAGTTCTCTAGCCAAAAACGCCATTATGAGGCACATGCAAGCCAGGAGGCTGATGTATCCAAGAACAAGCCAGAAGCCAACATCTGAACCCGTCACACATTCAATGATGATTATGGCGCTGTGGTAATCTGTATTCTGATTGGCATGAGGTGGATTAATGAGTAGCCAAATGAGACAGATCAATACCTTAAGAAGACAGCAAAAATCCACATATTACTTGAAACAGAATGAAATGTAAATTAATTAATGAGCTAAATCTGTTTTATACCTGGACAGCTGTTCCTAGTAGCACACTGGCTCTCTGCTGTTTGGATCCAAACCATTTCATGACATTACTTCCTGGCAATCTGGACCTAAAAGCCATTAGGACCACTGCTGTCTTGGCCAGGAGGCATGAGATGCAGAAAGCAAAACTGATCCCAAATGCTGGGTACCTGACACGGCAGAGCCAGTCTGAAGGCTTACCAAGGAATAGCAGGCCAACAAGGAAACAGATAGTGAGAAACACCAAGAGAAGGAAGCTCAATTCCATGTTGTTTGCTCGAACTAGAGGTGTGTCTTTGTATATGCAGAATATGACAATAATTACAAGGGAAATGCAAGCGCCAAGGACAGAGACAACACACACCAGGATACCCATAAATTCATAGTAAGAGAGATATTCAATTGTCTTTGGGATGCAATGGTCTCTGGCTTTGTTGGGCCACGTGTTCCTTGAACAGCGTGAGCACTCTACCGAATCTGGAGATAAGAAGAACAAAGAGGAGTTAGTTACATCTAAAACAGAACTCAATAACATTTAGGAGACTTAGTTTGAAGATTTAATTAATACACAAACTCACACATTTACTTACGTTCTTTAGTAATTTGATTGATTATTGGTAATGTATCTGTATAGCTAAGTAAAGGACATTCAAATGACCTAATTATACTTTGAAAACAGGCCAAAAACAAAATCTTGCCACTTTAAGATTGGGTAAAATACAGGGTGAAAAAATGTATTAAATAGAACATGATGTGAAAATAGAGCATACCAGTTTTATTACTAACTTCTCCTTCAGCACAAGGTACACAGTCATAACAGCAGATCGGTTCCCTCTTTCTCCTGGCAACACGAAAACCTGATGGACAGCTTTGACTGCACACAGACTGGATCGCCTGTGAGGCAAAGTTCAGGTGCTCAGAAACATCAAAACAATCCACAATTAAAAAATTGCCAGCTTCATTATATACGATCAATGAAAATACATTTTAGGTTAGTTTGTTATACTTTTTTTTTTTTTTTTTTTACTTTTTAGGGGGTTGTGATGGGTGCCATGTTTTATTGTCAGATAGTTGATAGTAACATATTTAGATGTTACTTAAATATAACAGCATACTATAATTGTTATTGTGGAGGGATAATACAAAAACCGTTAAACATTTGTATCTTACTACTTACACAGCAATTTTAAAGTAAAATTGTATGTTTGTTGTGAAATGTTTCTTAACACTAAGATTAAAACAATGTTTTTAATAAAATATCATTTTGCTTTAATGGAATGTGTTTATTGCATTAAAATGTTCTAATCCCATTATGGATCAGTTGTTTACATAACACCTTGAAAATACACGTACGTATTGTATATAAAGTTAAATGTATATTATACTGTTTTGTGGATACAATTTTTAAAATCTGTTGAAAACCGAATATGCTGTAGCTTAACAAGTTCTTTCAATTTTATTTGTTCACCAGTTTATTTTCTGTATCCTCCTTTTACCATTCAGGTTTGTGTGGAGCTGGTGCAGACCCAGCAAACAATGGGTGGTGGTGGGGGGTCACAAACAACAAATCGTCCACATTTACTCGCAAATAAGGTCAATTTAGATTTGTCAACTGGCCTAACATGTAGGGTTTAGGACTTTAAGAGGACACCAAAGTACCTGAAGAAAACGCACACATGTAATGGAAGAACATGCAAACTACACACTTAATAGTCTAGGTCAAGCTTTAACGCAGGACCTTCTCACTGTGAGGAAACAGTGCTCATTTACTCTCTCAATTTAACAAATCATGCTGCAGACAAATGACAATAAATTCACTAATGTGTCAATCAGCAGTGCATACACGAGTCTCAGTGGTGAACATGGTCTCAGACCTGTTTGTGGAGAACACACCTGCTTCCCTGCAGGCCACATGATCATTGAGTCATTAATGACCAAGTTGTGTCCACCGGGCAATGAAGCATCATAGAAACCTACTTTCACCAAATTCAGAGAGCCATCTGATCCTCTCTGCCAGTTCATGAGATCATAATAAGCAATGGGATCACCATTTTGATCAAAGTTGACTTTCTCCCCCAGCACAGAAAAATTTGTATGCTTCATGTAGTAGAGGAGCTGAAGGAGAAAATGAAATGGGGAAAATTATATTGTAAATATTATGTAACTTGTAACTATCTAACAAAGTCAAGTCAGGTCCTCTGGACAGATTAAAAAAATACGCCTGACTTAACCTGGCTTAAGTTTGTTAGATTTTTCTACCTGGATTATTGAGCATGCATCAGGATAACTTGTAACTATAATAACAATGTGTTATGTATTGTCATCATTGTATGTTCCCATGCAATGGTGAAATTGGATCTCTGCATTTAACTCATCCACCACCAGGTGGTGCGGTGCTATACTCACCTGCCAAGGTTTAAATTGTATTGGGTCTGCACATGTCTTATTCAAGAAAGGCCCCCATCCATCTTTGCAATCACTCATGTCATGCAAGGCATGAGCCACCAGATATACAGCCTTGTAGACGTTATAGGAAACTCTTAGTTGTGTCACGTCAGAGTACGGAGAGTAAATATCATTTAAATCCTCTGTCCCTTCACATGTTGCGCTGTAGGGGTATTTTTCCTTTCCATGATAGTGGGTATTCATTGACCCGTTTAGTCGACAGTTAAATGTATCTTCCCAAAATTCTGCCAAGAAAGCTACTTTATAAATGGACGACGGTGTGAGATTCAAGAGATGTTGCTGCAACTCAGGAATTACAGCAACCCTCTGTATGGCAAACCCTAGTGTTCCCATTAACAGATTTCCAGTCTTTTCCCAAAGCGACTTGGAAGTTGCCCATGCCTCGCTGGCGATCCACTGAAAACCAGTTAAGTTTTGACGTTGGATTTCTCTTAGAATGACCTGTATCTCTGCCTCACCAGAAAAGTTAATGATGACCTTTGAAGATGACATCTAATGAGTGAAAATAAAGAAAGAGTATTAAAGATGGTTTATTCATTGACTTTAATGATTTCAATCAGTTTAATAAAAACATAACAAAAAATAAATTGTACATAACACGACATGCAAAAAATTATATATTTTGTCTTGTATAACAATATAATATATCGGTTAAAAAAACAAATTCCACTCACACATTTAATTCTAAACCCTGTGCAGCAAGGAAAACATAGGAAAACTTGTTTGCATTAATTTAGTAAACAAAAACAGACATTTGCTGATTTTTTTTTTTTTTTTGGGGGGGGGGGTTGTTATGAATGCACATAATAAGCTGCCTTATGCACTGTACATGTCAGTTAAAGAACACAATTAAATACATTTTTACCATACATCGAATGAACTAAAGCTGATATATGTCATAGTTGTTTTTTGTTTTTTCATAAACAGAATAATATTTCATTTTATTTTTACAGGTTTTTTTTTTATTTTTATTGAGAAATGTAGTTAATATAGATACCTGAATAACCATTAGAAGCTTGTCGAGGTCAAACTGGCTGAGCCCTACTGGGTAGAAATGTGTGTAGGCAGCACACACGCTGAAGTGCACAGATTCTTGGAGGAAAAGCTGGATGGCGAAGCGAGCGTAATCAGATTCCACACCAATAACTCCCACCCAAGTCCAGCCAAAGTAGCTGACCAGCTGAGCCAGAGCTTTTATCTGGAAGGAGTCACTAGGCATTGTGCGCATGAAGGTGGGAAACTGCTTTTGGTTACTCAGACAGCTGCAGGACGCGAAATAGCTCACCTGGAATTAAAGCAAACAATAGCTGACCTCTTGCACTGCGGCTCTCTGAAAAGCATCAAATGTCACCAAACAATCAGTCTTTCAAAGCATTCAGTAATGCAGCATTTACCCTGCACCTTGAGTTTATCAGACACCTGAAAACAGAAGATGAGTCAGTTCTAAATTGCACAAAATGGGTATTTATTCTGAATGTATGGTAGTGATTTGAAAAGCTCCAAAAACACCATGCCGTAATGAGTCACGTTTCATGGTTCTATTGAATTTTGCAGGTAAATGATTGTATTTAAATATTAAATTTAAATTCTCAAGGAGAACTTGTGAGAACAAAAGTCAGATCGTTGTGGAGAATCAGATAGTCTCACCAGTGGAATATAGAAAGAGCCCAGACTTTGTAAGATAGCCATAGATACTCCAGAACCAGCATCTCCTATGACCACTGATGACACATTCCTGTTCACAGCAGCACAGCTTAAATCACTGCTCTTCACACTTCCAGTTCTGAAGCTTCTTTCTGGCTTTCCATTGACCAACACAAAGGATGCTCTCAATGAAACAGGTATGTCATCACAGCTGTCACGGATGTGGAAACCCAGTTTCAGTTGTGGCAGGAGATCACTACGCTGGTTAATCTCTTTGACTGCAAAAGCCATGGTCTGCATCCAGCGCAAAGCACGAGAGCTGAAGCTGTAGAAAACAAAGTAATCATTCTGCATACATGATATAAATATACATGATACATTACGCTGTTCAACACATTAAAATGTTTTTTTCACATGTAATCACTTGTAACTCACTAATTATATGTATTTGGTTTTGGTTTCGTTTTAAATGTCAAAAGAGAGGAGACGGGGCTGTAATGGAGAGGAAATAAACCCCCTATAACTACATCTCCATCTTCATAAAGGCTGTTCTCTTCCTCTTCTCCCAAGAAAGCACATGTATCCAGAGCAGCAGCAGAACCAACTTTTCCTCCAACTAAATACAACATTAAAAGTAGTTTTGTAGCAGGTGATACCATGTCTATTTCAAGTGTAAGAAAAGTTCAATATAAAAAATTGCGTTGCCTTTTCCACACATATGAAGGTTTTATGATATTACAGGGAACATATATACTACAGTCAGCACAGACCAACTGATGGCACCGCCCAGACTATGTGGTCATGACATCAAAATAATGCCTCCCCCGTCTAATATTAGATCAAGATTGTTTATCGCAAATTAAATAAATTTTGTGGTCAGGTAGTATGAGCTGGTAAAATTATTCTGTTTTATTTATCTTATTCAAAACAATCAAATTGATTTTTGTCAGGTTTACAAAAACTAACAGCTATAGTTAATTTGTGTTTGCATATGTCCAACTATTGCTCTTTTTCTTTGTTTCGTTCTTTGTTTCTTTCTTTCAACAAGCTATGCAATGAATCTTGCAGTGGTAAAACCTAAATGAATGGATAATTACATAACCAGATGAGTTAGCACAGCTTTGATTAACAAAGAAAAAAACAACAACATTTTTTTCTAATTGTACTTTATTTTCCCACTAAAAGTCTTTTTTTTTTTTTTTTTTACGTTTTTATCATTTCTGTTCTTTCTGTGCATGTATGGAAATGTATGAAATCCAACAGTTCTCTCTAGGTTCTCGGGTTTCCTCCCACAGACCAAGAACATGAAAGTTAGATTAATTGTTAACTTTAAATTCTCCTTTGCTGTGACTGAGAGAGTCAATAATTTGTCTTATTTGTCTCTGTGTTCCTGTGATGGACTTGTGAAATGTCCAGGGTGTGTCCCGCCTCTCACACAGTGACTACTAGAGATAGGTACCTGTGACCCCATGACAAGGCATGGGGATGTGAGAAAAAAAAAAAAACTGGACAAATGAAAGGATGTTGTTTTATAAGGCTTAAATGTAGTAAGCAGTAAATCCACCCATCCATTTTCTTCCACTTATCCGGGGTTGGATCGTGGGGGTAGCAGCTTAAGTAGGGAGGCCCAGACTTCCCTCTCCCCAGCCACTTGGGCCAGCTCCTCTGGGGGAATCCCGAGGCGTTCCCAGGCCAGCCGAGAAACATAGTTCCTCCAGCTTGTCCTGGGTCTTCTTCTGGGTCTCCTCCTGATGGGACGTGTCCACAACACCTCACCAGGGAGGCGTCCAGGAGGCATCCTAACCAGATGCCTGAGCCACCTCAACTGGCTCCTCTCGATGTGGAGAAGCAGCGGTTCTACTCTGAGTCCCTCCCGGCTGACCGAGCTTCTTATCTCTAAGGGAGAGCCCAGACACCCTGCGGAGAAAACTCATTTCACCTGCTTGTTTCCGAGTTCTCGTTCTTTCGGTCACAACCCAAAGCTCATGACCATAGATGAGGGTAGGAACATAGATAGATTGGTAAATTGAGAGCTTCGCCTTTTGACTCAGCTCTCTCTTCACCACAACAGACCGGTACAGCACCCGCTTCACTGCAGACACTGCACATATCCGCCTATCGATCTCACGCTCCATTTTCCCTCATTCGTGAACAAGAACCCAAGATACTTGAACTCCTCCACCTGGGGCAGGACCTCCTCCCTGACTCGGAGAGGGCACTCTACCCTTTTCCGGCTAAAGACCATGGCCTCGGACTTGGAGGAACTGATCTTCATCCCGGCTGTGTCGCACTCGGCTGCGAACTGCTCCATCGAAAGCTGTAGATCACGATCTGATGAAGCCAATAAGACCACATCATCTGCAAAAAGCAGAGACGTGACCCTAAAGCCACACAAATGGATCCCCTCAACACCTTGGCTGCGCCTAGAAATTCTGTCCATAAAAGTTATGAACAGAAGCAGTAATTGAGGTAACAATATCCATAATGAAGGAAAGAAGGTTTTTTTTGCAGTATCTTGTTTATTGTAACATTTTCTTGTTTGTTTTTGTTTCTTGTGTGTATGTGTGGGTAGGTGGTGGTGGTGGGGGGGGTGGGGGGTTAGAGGTTAAGGGTTTACATATATTCGTCACCCATCAAAAACAAGTCAAAGTGTTTTTTGGTATCATTTTTTTAATGCCATATTATTTCACTTGTTCTCAATTTGTATGCTTCCTTTTTATGATTGTCTACTATTGTCATCGTTCTTTATTAAAATCATATCTCTCTTGCAAATGAGTCCCTGAGGCTCAATGGGATTAAATAAAGGTTGAATGAATGAATATGCATTTTATAAAGGAAAAACACTACTTGATCCAAGTAAGTAAGTTGAAAAAGATAACACTAAACTAACCATGTGTTACGTACACTAGCTGGATTATTATTATTATTATTATTATTATTATTTAATAAATGAGGGCAAATCAGTGATGTGCAGTCAGGGTAGGCAGTACCTCACCTGTCATCATAACAAGTAAAATACTGACAATGATAAGAGAAAATACATTTGACCACTTGACTGTGTTATAAAACTGTTTTCTGAATTATTTCAACATTTCAGTTTTCAAAATCGCGGAATTTATGCAATGTCAGTTCAAACAACGCGGGGTGAAGCAGTGTAGTGCTGTGTCTCACCTCTGCTGGCGTTGTGTCATACAAAAGGTGAAGTAGGCGATTGGTGCATGCCCATTGCTGTCTCTCTTTATATCACCAATATACATTTGATTACACATGTGCTACACATGTTGATGTTCTGCAGTCTGTCTAATATAGTACTAGAGTGAGTGTGTAACATATTTATTTTTTTCTAATCGGTCATAAATGCACAGTTTAAATACACAGGGTGAGGCAGAAAGTACTTTGCCTCACTGATAGGGGGCAGTGTTGCCCCATAGGACAATGCAACGGGTGCAGTCGCTGTATGTTCTTCTGTTACATTCTTCTGTAGCAAATCTATAATGGTACACTCGTTTAAATTTGTTTAGATAAAATGGAAGATCGTATCTCAAAACTAGATGATTTTTCTAAACTTGATAAGCATAATTTGATGCCTTTTTAAAAGACAAAAAAAAAAAAAAAAGGTTAAAATGAAATATAAGCTTCTATTTTGAGTTCTTATATGTGTGCATCTGATTCCAGACAAGTCAGTGCCTGACCTGTCACAAATCTCTCTGCACATCACTGGAGCAAATATTAAGCATCTACAATAATTTTGTGATAACGATTATTAGAAATGATTTTTTTTTGTTTGTTTGCTTATTTTTCTGGAAATAAGTAAAATACAACAAAACCAAGTTGTTTAAATAAATTGCAGTCAATTAAACTGAATGCTTACTAAAATGTTTTGCAGAATTTAAAACACATTAGTGATTGTTCTGCTACTTAATTTAATTTTATTTTGTTTTTCTCATTTTTTTAAATAATTTATTATTTTTTTGCCATTTAGCCTAAAGTAACCCACTTGGGTAGATTAGGCACGGCAGCTGGTGTCCAATCCCATCACAGCCTGTCAATGACAACATGATCACACTCTATATACATTGCCTAAATCCTTGCTCTCTATATTTCAAAAGATGTCTACCAGAATGGCTCTGCTATCCTTGTTTTCTTTGCTTTACTCTGTCATTGTGCTCATTTTAACATACTGCCCAGTTTCCAGCCTCATGTCTTTAGCTACACCTGCAGCTGAAAAGTGCACTCTCCGAAACAGATTTGAGCCATGCTTTGTGGCTGATGGGGACTATGTAATTGGAGGGATCTTTCCTCTTCACTACAACCAGGAAATGCCTGACCTTAACTGCACCTACAAACCACCACCAGTCAAGTGTAATGGGTGAGATTAATAGAGGTTATAAAGATGTATTTATTCTTCTAAATGCTGATAGTATTTGGTGATACTCAAGTATTCAGCATCAAGTATAAAATAATATATTTAATCATTTAGAAACTGCATATCTATGTCAAAACATGATTTTTTTTTCTGTTAAACATAAACGAAATCCAAAAAAATGTTTATTTTCTGACTCTTTGTTAGAGTTACTGACTCATTGATACAAAAATGCTTCAGTATTTTTTTTTTGTATTTTATTATTTTAAATTGTAACTCTAAACAATCAATCAATTTAAATAATCTGATCATTCATAAACATTTAGTTACTCCAAACTTGTATGGTTTAACATAATGAAATATTAACAATGGAAACTACTCAGTTATGTCATCATGCAAACTGATGCAGTTGCAGTTTGTCCTTTATTTGATAGTCTAAGAAAACAACCTGTCTTACTTTATTTATTTATTGTGTATTTGTGTAATTGTGCATCATGTGCATGTACAGATTTGATCCCAGGGCTTTCCGCTGGGCTCTGACTATGAGGCTAGCAGTGGACGAGATAAACCAGAACTCAGAACTTTTGCCCAATCACACTTTAGGGTATGAAATCTTTGATTCATGTGCATATCCTCTGACTGGTCAAAGGGCAGCTCTGGCTGTGTTAAATGGTCTGAATGAGGAAGACTCTTCCACGTGCAGTGTTTCTTCTCCACTTCTTGCCCTGATAGGAGAATCTGGTTCTGCTCAGTCCATTGTGGTTTCAAGAATCCTGCAGCCATTCAGAATCCCAATGGTGACAACAGCTCTTTTTTTTATCTGTATTACCCCTAAATGTTGATATATTACTGCATGATTTATTGTGCTTTAATGTTTTCTTTCCCTTACACAGATTAGCTACTTTTCATCATGTGCCTGTTTCACTGACAGAAAGAATTATCCCACATTTTTCAGAGTAATTCCTAATGATGATTATCAGGTGAGAATTTAAAATCAGATAAATAAACAACTAATGATTAAGTCAATGCTTTAAAATGATGACCGTCTTATGCAATTTATGGAAAACATAGTTATAATTTACTATACTAATTGTTGTGTTACTTTATGTTCAACTGTTTACTGTATACACTCGTATAAGAACAAATAAAACATCACATCTCGATTTGCAATACATTTCCCTGATTTATTTGTTTTTTTTATTCAAATAATACATTTCTTGCAACATCCAAACTAAATCTTTTTTCAACAAAATGTTTTGGTTTTATATATGTTTTAAACCTATTTTATATAGTTTGGCTTTTCGTATTTATTTATTTATTTTTACCTGTTTTCTTTTTTGTTGTTGTTGTTTGTTTGTTTGTTTTAAGGTCAAAGCCATTGCTCAGCTGCTGGTGCGCTTCAGCTGGACTTGGATTGGACTTATTCGAGGAGACCATGAGTACGGGCGATTTGCTGTGCGAGGTTTACTGAGGGAATTACAGGGAACCAACGTTTGTGTGGCTTACCAAGAAATGATTCCTCTGCTTTACAATTCAAAGAGGGCTCTGGAGATCATGCAGGTAGATCTGAATTTAAAAATAAATAAAAAAACCAAGCACAATGAGCACTGATGTGCTTTTTACGTAATTAGAGTTTTCCTTTTATACCCCATTTTAATGTTTTCATTAACAAAAAATGGTAATCAGTTCTGCGTGGCTTATGATATTTCAAACGTCTCCTAAATTACCTTTTTTTTAAATGACCTAATCATGTGAAGGGAGGTTGTTGTTGAGTGTAAGGAAGACATTAAAATAAATTTGTATTTTTTGCATGATGGAACATTTATTTCCATTTCTGTGAGACATTTAGACAATTTGGCCCATCTGGAAACGTGGTTATTTCTATTTACGGGTATTTATTCTTTTTGCATATGTTTTTTTTCTGCTTATGCATAATTAAGTCATATAAATAAACATAACGCCAATAATTTGATAATTTACTTGGAAAAAAGAAAAACAATAAAACATTTACAGTACATGTGATTATTTGTTGCATAAAAATCAATCAGGCAATGCAACACTTTGCATTTACATTTATCATACTCATATTTTTTTTTATTCATCCATAAAAGTGAACAGTGATACAAACATGAAACGGTAAATATCCATTTGTTTCTGATTTACTGATTTTGCTGCTGGCACATGCAAACTGGAATTGAAGGCTTAGCTGCCAAACTATTAATAATAGTTTATTTGTATTTTTGGAGTCAATTATCTTTGGCTTTAGTGTAATGAGCCACTTTCAGCTTCAAGTCATTTCTTCAGAGATAATCACCCACTTCGAATGTGCTGCTGTAATGCAGTTTTGTGTAACATCTAATATTGTGTGAATTATTATTTTTTCTCAAATAGAGCACTTTTCTAACAAGTTTTTACCTAATTTAATTTTTAAAGAACTTTTTATCCCCCCTCTTCCTTTACTTGACAAATTCTCCATCATTGTATGTGTTTCTACAAAGGTGATGCAAAATTCTTCAGCAAAGGTAGTGGTAGTATTTTCAGCTGAAGGGGAAATGACACCTTTTTTGAGGGACTACATGACACAGGACATAACTGGAATCCAGTGGGTTGCAAGTGAAGCCTGGATCACGTCATCTGTCTTTACAGGAAACAACTATTACCCCTACTTGGGGGGCACCATTGGGTTTGGCATCAGAAAAGGTCATATTGCCCGACTTGGTGACTACCTGCTGACAGTCACTCCTCAGAAATATCCCAATAATATCTTAGTGCAGGAGCTGTGGGAGGCTCTTTATGGCTGCAATCCTTTTCCACAATCTGCCTCCCAGTTGCCGCCCTGCTCAGGGAAGGAGGAGCTGTTGGGGCAACACTCGGCCTACACAAACACATCTAGCCCTAGAGTGGCCTATAATGTATATAAGGCGGTATATGCTGTTGCTCATTCTCTACACAACCTGCTTCTTTGCCAACCAAGCAGTGGGCCATTTGAAAACAAATCATGTGCACAAAACAACAATATACTTCCCTGGCAGGTATTATCAAGCATTTGCACTGTTTAATATCACATCTAAAACCTTGATAGTGTTTTAAAAGGAAAAAAAAAAAGTTGCATTTGTTGTTTCTATACGATTATTCAAGCTGCAGCATTATATCCAGGAAGTGAAATTTATTATTGCCGGGGAGGAAGTCAACTTTGACTTGAAGGGTGACTCCGTTCCATACTATGACATCATCAACTGGCAGAGAGGTTCAAGTGGGAACATTGACTTTGTCAACGTTGGGTTGTTCGATGGAACTAAGCCTGCTGGAAAGGAGCTGGTGATCCAGGAGGACAAAATAATGTGGGCAGGGCAACAGAGTGAGGCAAGCTGCTCACACTGTGTTTTTACCTTCATCAGATGCCAACTGTTGAAGTTCTGTAGGTTAAGATGGAGGTAAGTCAGGTGGGATGAAGAAGTCTGGAACTGATGTGAGGCGCTTTGGACTGACAAAAAAAAAAAAAAAAAAAAAAGAACACGACAGCTGTAGTTGGTTCTCCAATGACAGTAGTCCCTCGCTACTTCACAGTTCATTTATCATGAACTCACTCTATCGCGTTTTTTCAAAATAAGATTGGACATGACACACAATTGTCTGATTGATGGATGAGCCGCATGATCGGCATGGAATTTTTATTTAAAATTAATTATTTTAAATTATTTAGCATCTGCTGCACCTCTGTGCAGCACATACTGCTGGGTAAGCTTCCTGCTGCAGCTGATCAGCTGTTCTCCCTGCAGAGCAGATAAGTGGGCGTGGCCAATAGCGTTTGCAGGTGGCAAAGAGCTGAAATCATGACTTTCTGTGCTCTTTAGAGCTTTAGAGTTTAGAATATTGAAAGAGTGTGGGAAGGGTTTAAAACACATCTATGTATGCATGTATATATAT